AACTTTGTTTAGGTGTCAATAATTTCTAGTTTGCAATGGTAAGACTAATTGGGGATAACTATCTATACTATCTACTTTATAAAATTATTCCCTACCTAATATACCAGTATAATATATTTTATATATTATTAATGATATATATGACTTAACCCTTTACTGCTCAGGACTTTAGGCGTTAGGGGTGGTCTCTAATCCCAAACCAAAATGGCTGCTGTGCTCACTATCACTGCCATGCATACTTTTATTTAATATTAAAGTGGCAATTTAGCATTAGAGAAGCAGAAAAAATATCAGGACCATAACAGATGTTTAATTGACACTATAGAATAATCATAAAGTCATGAAGTCAATAACATTTGAGTAAAAAATCGCTTTATTCTGTGTTATTGTTTTTGGCCACTAGAGTGGCCTATGGGCGCTTATATAGACGGCCACTCAAGTGGCCAACGGGTGGTATAAGGGTTAATATGATATTAGACTCCTTCACAGTTTCCTGTGGTATCTTGTAAGGTAGCTGACTGCCTTAGCATCAAAACAAGACAACAGTTGATCACCCAACGATTGATAACTTTGAGTAATTATTGTCTGTAGGTGCAAAAGAAGGTTTTTATTATAGCATGCTCAATGGTGGTCCTGCATTGATCCAAAGGCATGGCTATCTTTCAAGATGGTCACTGTTATAGAGACATTGTTTGATTTGTATGAATTCCTTAGATCTCCTAAGTATATAGCACCAGAGGTACTTGCATCAGGTCCAGGCTTATCTCCAGTGTATGGTCCATCCAGCTATAAGGTAGGATCACTAAAACATGCAATGATATTGCCATTGCAATCTTTGATAGAATGGAGAAGTCAGTCATGCTATTAGTTATATTATGTATTTATTTGAGTGCATGGTCATTCTCTGATAACTAGAAAAGTGGCTCTTGTTTTGTGTGTTTAATAATGTTAATATAACTATGGTTTAACAGAGTTTAGGGGTACATACGTATGTTTATTTACACTAATCAGAAGTAGTGTAGGAAATAAATATTATATCCTTATTGAATCAGAAAGCTATAAGAGACTTGTTCTGACGCTTGGTACTAAAGAAATGTGACAGGCACTACACCTTTCAAGTCCATTATAGGTTTCTGATTGAATCTTAGAACAAGAAGCAAGAAAATTTCATTTTCCTACAYACTCAGCAGTTTTTCTTGAATTCAGGCGAATGGAACATCTCTACTGCAGGGCCCTTAGACCTCATTCCATTCCCTTGTGTCTAATATTTTCAATTCACTTTAGGCTTATGCCATAAGCATCTATTTAGAGTTAGATAAAGAAATTAAAAAGTAAAGCAAAGTTTTTTAGGTCAATCTTACAATATGATACAATGTATAGTGAGTTTTGATTGTTTACAGGTTGATGTATGGTCCGTTGGTATGGTTCTGTTAAATCTCATTATGGTATGTACTTTAATGTTGCTTCCTTTTTGCAATTATCAAACTAAACTTCCATATGAAATCTGTAATTTTTATTGAATTCTTCAATAGGAAGGATCTTTATGGCAAGATGTTGACGAATGTAATGAAGTCCAGAAAATTTTTGAAAAGATTTTTGGCCTTGTAAAAAGACAAAAAGGTATTTTGTATAGCTCTACAGTTACAGTAGATCTTTTGCGTATGTGCACATTATTTTAGTGGCCAGGCATAATCTGAAATATTTTTAGATGCTTTTTTTAGATGATATTTTTGTGCATGATTATTGCCATCTATTTTTCTTGAATTTAAGGGAAATGTATCAGGGGTGTTTCTGAATATTACAAGTACCAATTGCATTGCTTTTTATTAACAGAAACATTTGAACATTGCTTAAATATTTTAATCAATGACCATAAAGTACCAGAGAAATTGCAGGTGAGGAAAATATACCATGAACTGTGGACCTTTCAATTTTATAGCTGCAAATTAGTAGTAATTTCGTAATAATTAATTTGTTTATTTTTTATCCATTAATTAAACTTCCCATCAATAACATTCTTCTTGCCTTATTTCTATTGTTTCTTTAAATTCTTTTCATATTACTTGATAATTTCATATTTTGTACTAGTATTGTTGACCTTGTACTTTTGATGTACGTATATTATGCTATTGTAATTGTTCCTGCTCTTTGTAGAATCTAAAGCCTGAACTTATTTCATTCTTAAAAGTATGCCTTACAGTCAAGCCATCAGAAAGGTATTGTATTCAGTTTTTATATACCCATGAGAGCTAGACTTTCYTATCAGTTGTATCATGTTGTTGCTTATCAGACCATCAGCTGTGGAACTTCTWAACCATGAATTGTTTTCCTGTTTTGACCAAAACAAGGTAAATATGTTCTCTTCCAAATAGTAAAATAATGCAATTATTTATCTTTCTTTTCTAAAAAGTTTTCATTTGACATTCAAAGATTTGTAGACTATATATTGTGGTCTAAAATTAATATTCAAATGATAGTGTTTTCTCTATTTATTCCAGATATCCTTAGAAAATGGATTACTCTCATTTCCATCAGTTAACCGTTCTGCTGGAATTGAACTCTCGGATTTACGCAATGAGGCAAACAAATATGGTAAGTTTCTTTTTAATTATTGCTTGATGGAATATAACACTTTGTTGAAATGACATGCAATCCTAGCTGTGTTG